GTAGTAAACTTTGAAAGTGTTTTACATAATACAATACACATTTCGTGTCATACATATAATTAATAATATTCCAATTGATTTTAATTGTTACTATTCAAATGTTAAATTAAAAAAGTAAATGCTAAGTATCATTAACATTTCAATATTGAATTTAAAATTCATTAAATATCATTGAAAAAAGTGGTGAGGGTAGATAACAATTCGGGTCTCGAGGGATACTTTCTCGAATAATATTGGTTCGTAACTTTATTTTCCCGCTTTCGGTGGTATTAATTTGAATGATATCGATCACTTTAACAACAAATCGAGTTATCCCTGTGGAAACCAGTCCACGATCGCCGTCTTCTTCAATAAAATCCGATAACACGAATCGATGATCGGGATAAATAGCACGCGCATGTTTACTCATGATCGATTCTCGTGATACTAGCCTCCAGTTAAAGAGGATTTCTTCTCCTCGATGTATTTTCCTTGAACAACTCGCTAGAAGCTTTACTAACAACTAACTGGATTTTAAGAGCAAGCTTTCATAATGTTGCGATGGATTGATTTAGGAAGAGAGGAAAAGAGAACTTGCTTAGTATTTAAATAATCATTTCATTTTACTGTTTTTTTTTTTTTTTTATAGAGTTTTATCACTTTTCATTATTGCAGCAGTTTTTATTAACAGTATCAAAGTATTTTCTTTAAATAAGAATCTATTTACATTGTATCTTAAATTTATCAAACTTCAATAAAACACGTACTGTGGAATAATAAAAGAAAATATTACATTGTCTACGTCTGCATCACGTATTTTACTAATGGAATGAATAGGAAATCGAAGAATATTTTTCTGCATGAAAAAGGAAACACTATTTGTATATTCGAAGCTACAAAAGAAAAAACATCCTCTTTTATATCACTTGCATGGTGTGTTCATTTCAGGTTATTTTAATATCCTTCGTTCTTTTTCTATTTACAAAGTGATTGGAATATTTTTCTTCTGAACAACTGCAGTTTGTTAAATTTTTTGTATTTGCCTGCAAACGTTGAATGTGTACCATAAAATTAAACCATTTCTCATTTTGAACGAAGTGCTCGTTAATTACAAAAAAAAAAAGAAAAAAAATAACTTGTTTAGTTTTCAAAATAATTAATTATACGTGTTGTTATAATGACATAATTATGTATTGTGTAACAATTGTGTAAAATATAATAATAGCGTAGAATATTACATCTATATCGTAATACTAAGTAAATCTAACTAAAATACATATTTGTCTAAAATTCGTTTTTTGACATTTTATCAGAAATAACATTGAAATCCTTTATTGTAAATACAGCAAGTGATATAAAGATGAAAAAATCAATGAGATGAAGTTCTCGAGAGATGTAGAAATGATAAAACGGAAAATTGTTTATAATTCAAGGGAATAGTAACTTGTCTAGCACTGTTTCGTCGTACTACAATTACGTAACTAATTAATAATCGAGAACTTACTTCGTACGGTTAATTTCACATTAATAAACTGTTTCATAGCGCGATGAAACTTTGAAAACGATTAAAACTTAAGTCGTCTAGATATCAATTAATTAAAAGCATTAAACAGCTGTGGCTTGACGTAATTTTCACCGTCAATTTATATACGTCCCTCTTGCAAAAGTAAACAAATTAACAAAATTCTGTTACTTCACGTAGAATAAAATGTTTTTCGTATTTTTGTATTAGGGAAAAATCATCATATTAGAAAAGTAGATTTTCTACATTTCGTTTTTTTTTTTTTTTTTGTTCTTTTTATTGCACCTATGGTGTTGTGAGGCAAAGGATTAAATACGAATGTTGCCATGAATTGCGGTAATTCGAGTAACTTCTTTTTATACTCTAATTGACGACATAAAAAAAAAGAGGCAAGAAATGGCGAGTTTAATTAGTTGTGAATTGAGATATAGCAGACAGCATAAGCTCGAGGGTTTCTTTCTAAGAAAAACGTTGCTTTCAGTACCTCCTCAGAAAATTACCTCGTTTGTGATGTAGACGATGAAGTTTTGATTAGACGTGTCCAAAAATAAAGAAGCAGTGTCAACAAGTCATTTTAATTGCGTCACCTTGTTTGAAGAAATCGTGAGGAGATTAAATATATTGCCTAAAGAAAATGTTATTATCTATTGTTCATAATTAATAATTTTATAGTTTCTATCTGTAATTCTATTTCTATAATGTGTTCAATTAGATATTAAAAATTAATATAATGAAAATAAATATTAATCAATTAGTTTATTAATGGAAATAATTTACTATTAATCGATATTATTGGTAAATGTATCTGATGGATATAGCACTATTCTGTAATTGTTTTGAATGGTCTCAATAAAATAAGAAGGACAATTGCAAATATTCCAATTAGAATGAAATTTCTATACTCCAAAGAATTCGATCAAGAATCGTATTATAAATTACAAGGAATTTACTGTTTTTTGTAATATTCAATTAAATATTCCTCGATCAAAAACGCTTTGTGTAACTTTGTAGGGAAAACGATGTTTCTGAGAAGAGAAGAAGTAAACGTAATCCAATCGCGTCGTCGGGTTATGTATGTATTGGAGTTTCGCCAGACATTCAGAGAAGACCGACTGATTTGCCATGAACGATGCGAACAATGAAGGAATCTCGTCGAGACAGAGAGAGAGGGTCGTAAAGCCACAGGCGATAATACAGCACGGGTAAACGACAATGAATCATGAATAAGTCTCGTCTTATCCCAGGGATTTGCGGAGCAGTGGGCTCGCAAAGCCGTGGACACACTTGAGGGCTTTCGGTCGCGTGACACAACTGGAAACGGGGTCACACGCACGGATATAATTGCAACAGCCGATTTCATCCTTCCAATACTGTAATTAATTGCGCTAAACGCCTAATTCTCGTAACAGGGCTGCGAATGTTTATTCATTCGTGAGAAATTTAAAAGCATCCACGCTACTTTCACTTCTACAAGTGAGAAACAATGTCTTTTTGAGAATTCAAGAGTAAAGGATTTTGGAAGATCAACTGTGATTTTCGAATAGAATCATGTGTGTCTAAATTCATTAATTGGCGTAACGGGTATTTTTAAATGCTCAATTATCTTTGTCTTTCACGCGAGGTGCTATACAAAATCGAAATATTAATTTTAAATAAAAAGGTAATGATTAACCCAATCATATCTCGACATACAGAAGTTAATTACTATTTCGTTGAAAACGATAATTAAATCGCAGTTAATTTTCCACGGAATTTCTGAGGAAGCATTTTTACGCTTTTTTTTGTAAGAAAGGCCGACGGTGGTGAGAGTAGTTTCAATTTCGAAGCCCCCGAGACCTGAAACCAGCATGTTTGCCATTGGTGGTTCGATCTTCTTTGTCAGGGAACTTGGAATTCTTACCGATAACGAAACGAAGTTCGTTTAAGACCATAGAGGGATAGATTCCTCAGAGTTTCTAAAAGTAGCTAGGAATGCTTTGCATGTGCCTTCTGGGAAGGACATGGAATGGCTTTTATCCGTGTAGAATCTTCAGGTATTCTGATTGGCATTCCAAAATAACTATATTCATTTTAGGTATTTTAGGGCTTTCTTTTCTGATGATGCAAGGAATTCAATAAAATGATTGAAAATTATTGGAGGGTCATTCTTGAGCGAATGCTCCCAAAGAAATTAAAGACGGTTGAAATTAATCCACGAGTTTTTTTTTTCGAAGAGTATGATAGATATGTTGGAATACTAAATTTATCTCTACAAAGAAATTGCATCTTTCCTTTTCATTTTATTTTACCGAGCCGAAAATTCCAATATTTGTACCAAATTAATGGGACTGTTTCATAGAGTTGAAATATTAACCCACAAATATTCAAGAAGCCAAAAATATTATTTTAATTTTATTTTAATACTTGCAATCGTCAGGACAAAACTCGAAAATTTTGCACATTCGTATTGCACGAAACCTCACAGTTGACTATCAAAGATCATGGACATGGATCTAAAGAGGATTCCATTTAGCTGTTTGCAATCCTATTATTTTCTCCTTTCTTCACAAAGGTTCCTTTAATCAATTACACATCAACAGTGTTCTCCCAAAACACAATCTGTAGCTTTTCTAACTTGCCTGCAATACTGCAAACTTTCCGCAGTATCTTTTAGTGAAGAAAGTTAGTCTTCTACTTAGATTATCTTTGAAAACCGTGGAGCTATTGGAGCGTTAAACTCTCGATCCTCGGAGTGTTAGATCGAATCCTCTGAACTTCATAGAAACTTTCCTCCCTGCTTATAATTGCCCCTAATTGTGTTTCGTTTAATTATCCTATCTTCAGAATTACAGTTAACTAATCGTTGGATGGTTAATTCTGGTGACGAGTGAAATCGCGTCGTGGGAAATTTAGTCGGCCGTAATTAACAAGAAATTGATTGGAGCCGATGGGTCTTCAGGCTTTGGAAGATAATTATTCGTGGATAGAATGATAAGAAGGGTTGGAATCCCTTGGACGCCAATTACAAACAAGGTTGTGATCCATGTGCGCGTGTGGGGTTCTCTGCGTTTCCGTTTCAGTGGTCTGGGTTTGCGAAATCGTGATTATTTCGTTGATTAACTTGTTAGAGCCAATTCAATTACCAATCGAACTACAAATGAAATTATTTTTTTCAATTTGGATAAATTACAGGCAAAGTTATATATCTGTTCGGAAAATAGCGTGGTGGTTTTGCGAATTATCAATTGATTTATCGAAAAAATGAGTTGTTGAGTGATGTTCGTTTTTGAAGGGATTATCTGATTGTGTATTGGAAACACAAGTTAGATTCAATTTGTATAGTAGTACATGCAGTTCGTTTTAATGAAAAATTCTGTTTAATCAGTAAAATTTAAATTTACCCACCTTCTTTTATTATTTGTAAATAAAGGAAAGTGCGACAGTGTGTATGAGGTATGGAAGATGATTCATAGTTTTAGCATATTCGACACCTAATTGGCGAAACATGATTCCTTTTCAGGGCTCCAAGTGGAACACGGACTACAGGCGCGACGTATTGATTCAAAGGCCAAAGGAATAGCAGGAAATTAGAAAATGGATGTATATGTAAGTTAAATTGTGTTACGAGTATAGTAACACAGTTCACATACAACGTAAATTCGAATTAAACAGACAAGTAAAAACGTAGTAAAAGCAAGGGCAAAAGTTGCCAAATTTATTTATTTTAAGAACAAACAGAAACAGTGTTTTATTTAATTTTTCTAATTTGTCAAGTTCTCTTTTTTAAAATTATAATTGCTCCTATTTATTGCTAATTTCTCTTTTTTAAAATTCATCTGTAAAATTTAATTCTCCTTTCTCTGAATTCCAACAACTTCTTGAATTCAATTCTTGTTTCTTCATTTAAAATTCTTTAATATTTAGAGTAACCTCGCATTAAAAGTGAAATAAAAGTATTCATATTAACATTGAGAAATAGGAATCGTCTTTCTTAGAAACAGAATGAAATTGAATTTAAATTTTCCTAGTAAAGTTCTTCAGATATTCAAAGTCTCTGATAAAATTCTTGAGATATTCCCCTCTGAATGTATAAACCAATATCTCGGATACATTTGCGAGTGCAGCAACTGCGTTGAAAAATTGCTCGCTGAAAGAAATGTCAGAAATAAAAGAATACAGTGTGAAAATGTAGTTTCCTGGATAATCGCTCGTTTCCATATGAATCCTTGAAAAATAATGGGATTGACGCAGAGATTTATTTCAAAGAATCAAATCTGAGCCAACATTTGTATCATCTATTCAATATACATGTACACATAAAATATACATTTTATGTAATACATGCAATACATTGCAATTATTATTTATTATGCAAACAGTGTGTATAATATTGGATATTTCTTTGAAATGCTAAAATTGTTAATATTGTTAAATACTGACTTTTTGTGTTTCAAGAAGAAAATATAAAACATCTTGATAGTCTTTTTAAGTTTTTTTATTTCTTTTTGGAAAAACTATGTCACCGTGAAATTGCGTATCGTAATTGCGAGTGTGTAAAAACGAAACTTTTACTCGGTTTAATCTTGGTTTAACTCTAAAAAGTAGAAAATATATCAGAAAGACAGTTCAATATTTTCTCTATTTCACTTCTGTCATCAGATTTCATTTATTTAGAAATAAATGTATTTTTTTTCCTTTTTTTTTTTTTTATTAATGGAATAGAGTTTAATCATGCGAACTGTAGGAAAACGTGATATTTTATCGAAATTCCACGTTGTTTGTTTCATCTATGTATACCTACCTTTCTCGCGTCCAGTTGAATATTTATTCTAACTTACACGTGTACGTTCCAGTTTTTTCACAGTCAATATATTTCATCGAATTGCATTTTTAAAATGAAGAAGATAATTAGTCCAGAAATAATGAAAAATTGTCAATGTTCTAAACTGTCATAATTTGATAAAAAAGGATCATCACTTGGTGTTATTTTAAAGCATGAAGCCTCTATTTTCGCGGTATCGAATTCATTTTTTTCATAGATGTTTTTACATCACATAGCGAGTAGAAAAGCAAGGATACTTTTATTCTTGAAACTTGCCAAACGCGTCTCTGGAAGCATTGGAGAAATGTTTTCGTAACTAGATTCCACCATGATCTTGAAAATTGAACTCCTTTTTTATAACGAGCCCTGAAAACTTCCTGGACGATTTTTTTTACTGCATTTTATTAAATTTCGAGCATTTTAAAAACGTAGGATTAAAATGTTAGGATTTTTCGAATTTTTGTCGTTTATGATTGTATTCAAATTTTGTTCATTGTTTTCAGATCTGCTTTTGTGTTGAAATTATGGAAATTCCGCAGTATTCATGGAATTTTTATTTCCGTTGTTTACAGTATTCAGGATAATATTCTGTTGTAAGAGTTATCATAAACGAGCCAAGGAATGGTGCTGAAAAAGAATTTTGCTATAAATTCCATTTTGAACTATGTCCTGTTATCCGAAGTGTGTCTACTCAAGTTAGGATCCACGCTGAAACTATGTATAACATGGAAACACTTCTACGTTCTACGTCTCAGTGTTCGTTCGAATAAACCGACATACCACGTGAAGTTTAATGGACAATTTTTTGGCCATGAAATCATATAACTCGATAGTTCTATTCTACGATTTCGCAGCACAACGGAATATTTGGAATTTTTTTAAAATCAGTTTTTTTTTTATTGATTTTTCATACTGTTCTAAATATGTCTTCCTAGAATTTAGTGAACAGTTCTTTGTAATTATGTCTTCTGCAGATCGTAGAATATTATCTTTATTGAATCATAGAAAATTATTTCTATGTCTATAGATACCTCTAATGCATATTTTGTACAACATTTAACTTGTATAGTTTTTTAGAAATCACGTATTTCACTAGTAATTATGATGTCATTTTAATGGAAAAGAATGAAGAATGAATATGGAGAAGAATGTCGAGGGCGAATCGTTATTAAATCAGTCCTCCCTGATGATATTTCACAGTTGAGAGAAGACACAAACTACCGGTATTCACTGAATTTCTAGGATTTTAATTACGGCTAGAAGAATTGCACATTGGATAAGATTCTCTTACCAAACAGATTAGTTACTTTACACCCACTATGTAAAATTATTATTTTTGAAAAAAGAAATGAACTCGCATCTGTCAAAAGAGATCTTTTTTTTACGAAATTACATCAGTTTAAATTATTGTTTAAATTTTTCATCGTCATTGGTGCTGTTGTACTCTTCGCTGGTATGCAGTACTTGCTCAAATTCACTATTTTCAAAATCTAATTACACAATTAATCCATCTTCAAATTTGCTCAGAAATGAAATTCAAACAACCAAGAAAGTTACACGTGTAGTGTGTAAGAGAATCTGTGTGTGTTATTTCCGTTACGGGCAACTGGATCCATTCAGCAAGGTATTCCATGGGTCTCGTTTCCATCGCGAACGAGCGGATAAATTTGCAGTAGGTTGTTGTAACTTGGTCGATGCTTCAATTGCGACAAAACAGAGATTGCTGGAACAGAGATATCGAGTTCTCGACTACGGTCGTAAAAGATGAAAGAATCTCCCCTGTCTTTGAATTTATTTGAGTCTCACGGTCTCAATTTCCGGTGCACTTGCTAGTATATTCTCTAGGACTATTACAAACCAAGTTTCCTACCTGATAATTGGACGAGAGAATGGGATTGGTCTGATACATTGAAAGCAATCAGTGGGCGGAGTTTTATTGGTTTATTTTAGAAATTAATATCCAGATAGGTGTAATTTACTGTGTAAGCAACAAACGTAGCAAGGGAAATGTCTCTTCCTCGTTGAGAAATAATTTTAAATTCTCGGATACGTATTGCGTGGTTATTTGAACTCCTTCAGTTTTCATGACTTAACTTCATTTCTTGTTTCCTCAACGTGTTTGATGATTACAAGTGTAAAGTGCGATATATTTTATTTTGCATGCAACGCAAAAGTTGTTTGAGCTGTTTCAATTTATACGTGTAAAATTTTATACCTTTGTGATCATTAATGTGATATATATGTTGAATAACATAAAATTAAAGACTATTTTTAATGAAAATTCTAGGATTTCTGAAAGCTATTTCTAATTTATAAAAATCTAATTTTCAGCATTCTAAAAATCGGTATTTAATTTATTAAAATAGCTCTCTTATGATATTGATTTTATATATTTTGTAGAAACATTTTACAAACCAGGTGAAATTCGAAGGCTTTTAAAAATAATTTGTAACTTTGCTTTTTCAGGAGGATATAGATTTTGACAACCCTAACAGTCTCGATGATCAAAAACTGATTCTGGATATGAAAGCTAACCAATGCCATAATGGAAACATTTCATCTTCTGGTGAGTATCTCTTTTTATTTTTGTACCTATTTCAGTCGTTCTCAATCGTAGTATGATCATTATGTCGAATAATTTATTGTGTCGGATGGAGACAGAAATTCTCCAAGTTCTTTTTCGATTGTAAGTATCAATAGTGGTTCCCACGAACCATTAAAATTCACGATCGTCAAATATTTCAACAAAATTATTAACAGGAGCACTGGACGTTTCTAATAAATACACCTTTTACTTATAGAATAGAGAATTATTATAAAACAATGATGAAGTTGTTCCGAAGATAGATAAGTTTCCATAACAGATGTTTCTTGACATCAATTAAAAATATTATTATATAATGATTTACGTAATAATTTTCTCTGTTATTACTAAGACTTTATATAATGGATAATTTATATCCATTACTACACTATATACTGTAGACGATAAGTTTGGTATATCGAAATTGTGCAGTTTGTAAACTAATCGTAGTAGCTAATAAGTACAATGGCTTAAAAGTTACAAGTTTAAATGATTCCTCACTTCTCGATGTTAATTAACCCGAGCTAAGCTTATCGTCAAGGGATTAGTATGCCTGAATTTGCGTTATTTCGTTGAATTAGAACATTGGGATTTACAGAAGTGGGTAGTAACTACTTCGAGCAAATTTGCATGGGAAATCCTCCATCAATATCCGATAAATTCTATTGTTGGTGTTTAATATTCTGATATGTTAAGTGGAACTTCTTTTCTTTTTCATTCAATTTGAGGCAAGTTGCATTAATATGATAGTTATCTTATATTGATCATTTTTCTAACTGATTCTTTTCACTAACTTTTACAATTTTATTTGTTATAAAATGTTGCATCTTACTCAGTATATTGAGGCTCATTCTCTGGATCCAACTATATTTTTTACTATAAAAATATTGAAAATTCTCTAAACGTTAATGTTTAATTATGATTGTAATTTCGCACACGATTTTTTTCTAAATATTTCCTTTTTAATATTTTTAGATATCTTCAAATATTCATTGCGTTTAGTGCAATGAGTACTTTACGTTTGTAACAATCCTGCCTTAATATTCGGGTGTCAAAGACGTGATAGTATACCATTCAGCATTACAAATATTATCCTATTGCTTGGGTAACAAACCATCGGTTCCGTAATTAACCATATACCGTGGACGTACATCTCTCTTCATCGGCTTTGTGCTAAAGGATCTCGCAATCATTCGCTGGACTTCCCACAATCTATTTGTAACGAGAAAACAAATGTGTCAGAAGTAGAAATCGAATCCGAAGTCTTTCAGTTCTCTTCTGTTCTACAAAACTACCGTGTTACATAGTATCGTGTAGCGTGGGTAATTCGATAGATTAGACTGGGGTGGCAATTCACCTTTTAAATGGCAAATGACTACAATCCAGCAAATCTAAGGCGAGGAAAACCGGCGTGAAAATAAAAATCTTTGAGACTACTCGAATCGTGCACTTATTTTCGTAGTACATGAGTGTTTTTACTGCCTTTGCTTTGAAATAGTTGTAGTTGAAAACAATTCTTCGTGGAAAATTTTCCGCCGTTTTCTTATCACTTTATTTTGTCTCTCAATTTTTTTCTATCTTACAATCGCGTATTCTAGTGAGAGATTAATATTTTTTATTGGATTAGATTGTTGCAGACGAAATGGCAAAATTTGTAGTTTAAGTTTCGTTGTCTATGATTTCCTTTACATCTTTCATTAGTTTTCAATTCTCCGGGTTTGACATGTCTCGCTCGTTGTGAAACGATTTTACAATTATTACGATTATTGCAATCTTTAATTGTCATTGAAGATTTTATAATTTGGTAATTATTATAATTATTACATTAGTAATTGTTTACACTTGTATTTTGTAATCCATATACATATTTATATACATTCATTGTATATTGTATTCTATGTATATTTCTGTGTATTATATATTATATTTCTCAATAATCGCTGAAAACATAGTTATCAATTATCAATGGTGAAACTTCTATGACACCACAATAACGTCATCAGCTCTTACGGTATTAATGTGACTTTTATACATAATTTGTTTGCAGTTTTTTTGATGTTCGTGTAAGTGTGTGAATGTAACAATTGAACAAGTTGGATATATCTGGTAAACGAATTTTGTCTTCATTGGTCACAGAAAGATGACAGCGAGTGGAAATGTCTTATAATTTGATTGTATAAGTTGAACACGCAAACCTCCATGCAAATGCTTAAATGATTTCTCTCTGTGTACATTCAAATTATAATGGATTCCTATTTTTGTAACTGAACTGAAACTTGTGTCTGATTCGTAGAACGATAGCTTCCACTTTAATTAAGCAATTGTGACGGTTTTAAAGAAAAGAAACAAAAGAGAGATCAAAATCAAAATAAAGTAATTACTGTATTACAAATACAGTACAGTCAGGGAGAAATAAAACAACTTTGTGAAAAATTTCTGTTTATGAATTACAAATGGTAGTTACTATGTTGCAAAGGGAAGAATAAAATATTTTAAAAATTTGAAATTGCTACGAATATTACAAATTACTATGATAATTACTATGATAATTATTTAAATAAACAGTACTTTAAAAAGTACTGAAAATTATTTTTAATAATCATTAAAAGTTAAATAATTAAACATTGAAATATTTCTTGTTTAGTGACAGAAATTGGAAAGTTTATTAAAAAATATTCGTTTCAAAAAAATATTCGGACAAATTGCGTTCTTCTTCTCCTTTCGTACTTTATTAGTTTTATAGTGTTGTAAATTCATGATTTGATAAACTGGAGGAAAGCGGTGTAGATGGTTAATTAATTAACTAGCATGTTTTCATTCTTGCGTGGAGCAAACTTCGTCGATAAGAAAATGTGATCAGAAGAAAAGAAAATAAATAGCTCGATATTATAATCAAATTAAGAGGCAGGACGTGAGGAGGAGGAAAAGCACATACATTGACAGCAATCGTTTAATGAAAAATCGATTCGCCACGAAGCTTCCCTGCTGGCAACCGATTTTCCCTGTTCTTGTCGCGAAGCAGTAAGATTAACGCGTATCACGGATTGATTTCCATTTTAATTGTCACTTATACATTTTATGGAACAAAGAGATACTATTTTTCATGTGAAGTTTCTTGATACTTTTTTAAAGAATTTTATTGGAATTCTTCTTATATCTTTTTTATATGTAATGTCTAGCATTAGTTATATATAATAACAATTGCAAATTACATTTGCAATTACAATTGCAAACTAAAATTTCAATTGCAAATTACAATTATAAACCACGAATTTTAATTATAAATTGCAACTATGAAGTACAAATTTCAGTTATCAATTATAGTTTTAAGTGTATTACTTGGAAAATATAATGAACTCAGAAATAATACCAATTTAAAAAAATAAAATTTCAAAGTAAACAATTGTACTACTACACTATACATTTTGAATACTTTATATATTATTATTTTATGTCACTTTGTTATATTTAATATATGTACATATATGATACAATAATATATATTGATGTTCATATAATGTAACATTATTGAATATTATAATACTTACATTGTAAATTGTATTGCGTATATACATGTTTTCATATCATGCGTAATTTATGAAATATTGCATTTTAGAATTCGTTCCATGAATTTTTCTGGAGTCATAGAATTTCACATATTGAAATTTCAAATTGTTTCCTTTAAATCTAGTTCTTTTTTTCGTTTTTTCTCTCACTATGTTTCCTCTTCTTTTTTCTTTTTCTTTTCTGAAAGCTTTAAAACCGATAAACCATTATGGAGGTGATACCTTGTGATGTCGATGCAAAAGGCCGTGAAAAATTTCGCTTCGGTGATTTGGTTGGTCGTGCACCGGAAGTGGGCCAAGCGTTGCTCAGGAAATAGATAAGTTTCATCACGTGACGTAATATCGTTTTTTTTTTTTTTTTTTTTTTTTTTAATGCGACGGAGGGAGTCAAAATGACAAATTTGTCTTCCACTTTGCCGAGATAAACGTTTTTATCATTTTGTGTCACCGTCTCTCGATGTTTCGATAAAATTCGTTGTATCTCGATTTACAGTTTTTCCATTTTTAGGAAGGTTGGAGAAAAGAAAACAAAAAATTGTTTGAAAATTGTTTTTGGATATCATTAATAAAAAAAAAGCATTTATTGAGAGAATATCGATAGAAAGTTAATTTCATTGTAAAGAATACAGGATTCAGTTCTAATTTCCGATAATTTTATTTTGAATGAATAATAATATTTTACTCTCTTTTGAACAGATGAAATTCCCGAATCAAAATCATTCTTGTGGATACTATTAAATGGGCAATTCAATTTGTTGATTATATTTATAACATATATCTGTGACATTGTTTTTTTGATACACAGAAGAATAATAAAAATGACTTTTATTAATCGCAGGATGGTGCCCGGAAGTTTGGGATAAGATAATATGCTGGCCTTCAACGGCACCTGGGGAGTTGACTATTTTACCTTGTCCATCTTACATAGCTGGGTTTGATGTCCAGGTAATTAGTATAATTGGAATAGCTATTTCTACTTTAATAAAGATGTCCCTAGATGTGTCAATGATATGCTATTAAAACTTAAACTTCTGTGTGTTTTGTTGAATTCCCATTGTTGGATTACTATAGATTGGAGCAGTTTAATATTAAATTTTATGTTATTTTTATTGAGTGAAATGCATAAAATTGAAAGCAGAACTAAATTTAAGATTTAAGAGCGGATTTATTCAGATAGTATTTTCCCTGCTGGAAATTTTGTTTCATTATTAATCTTCTCAAATAAATATACTTATATTTTTAGGCGAACGCGTCTAGACAATGCATGTCAGAGGGCCAATGGTTTTGGAATAACAACACCAATAGTACCTGGAGCAACTATACTCAGTGTTATAGGAATTCATTGGTGACACTTTTAGTGGAACAACTGCCTGAAAAGAGCAATGATACTCTCATGAAAGTAAATGCTTGTGAAGACAACAGAATTTATCGGAGACATTAATGGAAAACCTTTTGGAGTGTGAGAACGAAAATGGCATATTTAATCTGATGGACTTCATTAGAGAAATGTATTAAAAGAGATCTAATTTAGATCAGCCTCTCTTTTTATTAATATGATCTTCGCGATAAAATTTCACTTTTCAGAAAGGATTTTCATCTCATTACTAATTCTTTTTCATGTAGAATCATTTCCTTCTCGCTTGTATTCCGAGACACCCTGTATTGAGAAAGTAATTGGAATAATAGAAACTCGTTTACTCGGCAAGTAAGAATAAGTGTGAATTACGCTAATGGAAAAGGCAGCAACAACGATTAGAAATTTTTTATTATGTTTTTATTGTCTTGCTGAATTATTTAACACGACGTGAAGCTTCATTGCATGTGATTAATAAAGTATTAGAATTCTTTATAAATCATAAAAGCGAATTCTATTCTCATAATTAATTCCCTTTCACAGAAAAATTATGTAGAACATAAATTATATTGGTACCATTTGATTAAAATTTGTGGCTTATCAATTAAATATGTTGCATTGATTTCCCCCGTGTTTCATAATGTCTCCAATTACTTCACGTGGAAGCTGGTAAGGGTTCTAACCAGCTATAATTTACGTTACAGAAATTTGTCCCAATAGTGAAGACCATCTCGAAAGTTGGTTACACTGTTTCTTTCTTCACTTTGGTGATTGCTTTCTTCATTTTGGCTATGATCAAGTATGTATCTACCAGGGAATATCACAACTTATTCTCGCTCTTAAAGTTTCATGTCTCTTAGAGGATTTAATATTTCTATTTTTCTAACTCTCTCGAGTTGTCCCATGAGTTTGTGTTTTTTAAATTTTATTTTCCCTTTTTCTAAATTTTTTATTTTAATATTAAATGTTATTAATATATAACTTAAATTAGCTCATAATTTTGGCATAAATTGCTTACTATTTATGCTAATTAAATTTTATTTCTTGGGAGTAAAACAAAATGCCAAATACTCGATAATCTCACAAATAGAGAAAAAAATTTAGCTAGAGAGAAACCATACATTTTTGATGAATTTTCTCGTTTTCCAATTCAATATTCCTCTTTCTCTCATCTAATCCTAGAATACTGATATTTTTTAGTTCTGCAGAAACAACATGAAAAACACAAACTCACGGAACAGTACGATCAATTCTATTTCAATTATCGTATTTCAACATCTAATTTTTAAAATCCCGGATCATTTAAGTTTATCCCGAATTGGACGTAGGAAATTGAGGTGTCCCAGAAATATGCTGCACATGCACTTGTTCGCCTCTTTCATGCTCCGTGCGTTCATGGCATTGATGAAGGACATCTTGTTTGTCTCTGGAATCGGCCTAGCTTCAGACGTCATGATAAAAAATGGGTACACGTATTGGCTAGTGGATGAAAAAGAGAGCCGCTGGCTTTGTAAAATGTTCACCAGCTTCTGGCAGTACTTCATTCTCGCAAACTACTTCTGGATACTAATGGAGGGCCTTTACTTGCACAACCTAGTCTTTCTAGCGCTCTTCACCGATCTCAACTCGAGCATCACTGGCTACGTTTTCCTTGGGTGGGGTAAGTCTCTTGCAGCAAATTCCTGACCAAAATGGTCTAATTGCTTGGAGATTCCGAGCTTCAGAGATAGAGTATTTCGTTCAGTGAAATATTTAATTTAGAAATTAGTTCACATATTATTTCTTTTGGTTTTCTCTTCTTATTAAGATATTTGTATCATAAAAAATAATGGTAATAACGTTAAAGTGTAATTGTCTTTCGTTATTACTCAGGTTTTCTTATTGTTTTATATTAGCACTCTCTGAATTGCTTTCGCAAAACGTTTTTTCACGTGCTTGTGTTCTCAGGTCTGCCAGCTGTATTCGTATCATGTTGGATAGTGGCGAGAGTAACCTATGAAAATAATTTCTGCTGGACCACTCATAAAAATTCCAACATCTTCCTTTTCATCTTAATCCCGACCATGCTGTCCATTTTGGTAAGTTAATAATAACAATTCATTTTATTTCTTTAATTTTCGACTATTATCATTGGATGTTGAAAGCCACAGAAATTTAGGTTTAGATACAGTGAAGAAACATATATTGTATCAACGATAATAAAAAGTTGTCGATAATTTAAACTGATATAACTTTATAAAAACACTTTGTCTCATTTTAAAGCATGAAATATCGTCACTTTCAGCCATGTTTTTTTCGAAAATTATTTTACTTTGTGATATATGTATCTTAAGAATGCTAGACGAAACAGTAAAGTTCTAGAGAAGAAACTTGATTTGTTTTTTTTTTTTTTATAAATTCAATGAACCTAGAAAATGCAGCTGCAATTTTTTTTAAATAGAATTGTATATTTTTTTATATATTAATCGATGAAGTCTGACATTCTTTGTAAAAGAAGTTTAGGAGACGTTTTAACTTCGATTTTGTAAAAATTTATCGTGCAAAAGATGAGAAAGGACAAGTTCTTCTGTCCTTGTTATTCTTGTCATATAGATTTTACTCAAAGTAGAAACCTTTTTACAGAGAATGTCGAGCTCCATCGATTAATGTATAAAAGAGAGATTCCTTAAAAAAAATTAATTTAAATTTTAAGTGCATCGTTGTGTTTATAAAAAAAAAGTAAGCCTGCAAGAAAGTATATTGTCTCACACCAATTAACTTTTTTTCTTCTATCTCTTACCATTTTTAAGATATAACAAGTCAACTTATTTGGAAGTTGAAGAAACTGACATTCCTCCTTATTCTTCAACTTTTAAATTCCATTACAAGTTATTTTCGTTGTCCATCCTTTCAAGAAACTTGCAGTTTTTTTCTATTTTAAAACTTTTCCACCACTTCTATAATAATATGAGATCCTGTTTTCAAATTCTACAGATCAGCTTCGTATTGTTTGTCAATATCGTTCGTGTGCTCCTGTTGAAGTTGAAATCCACCGTATCGGAGGAGACACAGAGATATAAGTGAGTTGCTGCCCGTAATTTGAGATATATCCTTCCAGTAACTTGATTATTTGCATAACAATAACAAAATAGTTTTGCAAGAGTTCTTGCCAGTCATCTGATTTCAGAAGATAAATTGTTTTTATCCCCTGTTTTGCCCGCGTTAAAAACTTTGGATCACTTTGCAGGAGATGGGCAAAAAGTACTTTGGTTCTGGTACCACTTTTTGGAGTTCATTACACTGTTTTCTTGGGCATGTCTTACTACATCGGTGTGAACGAGACGGTTGAAGTTATATGGCTCTTCTGCGATCAACTATTTGCTTCTTTTCAGGTATATGGCTCTGATATGGCTATTTCCATCTTTTTCTTTTAACTTTGCTATTTTATCGTTTTATCATTATTTTTATCTACAATGTTCAAGGTTTTCTGTTTCTCTTCACTCCATTGTGGTTCAAAATTCCATGAAACTCGTTCCTTTTATTGTTCGTTAAAATATTATCATAACAATTTTTGAAGTTAATTTATTAAATTGTCATAGTCCTTTGTAATCCAAATGTACTACTTAAGGGTTAATTACATTTCTCGTTGTTTCGCTGATATTAGGGTTTCTTTGTGGCGGTTTTGTATTGTTTCCTGAACGGTGAGGTGCGAACAGAGGTGTCCAGGGCGATCAGAAGCCAGAGATTACCCCGTTTCCGCGCCAGATGGATCTCAAGACCATCCACTCACTCTGGCAGCACGTGTAGCTGCAATACGTCGAAACTTGGCAGACGATCAAAGCGGCCACGTTGGTGGAAAGACCCTTGGCTCTGTTTTCTTCACGATAGAACAGCTCGACGCTCCACCCACTCGATGGCGAGTACACAAGGTGTGCTCTCTATCAAGTCCTCTGATCTCTTCTATGCATATTTCCGTGTTGTCTTTATATGCTACTCGCTGTGTTATTTGATCTTTTCATTTCTTCATGCATCTGCTTGTCTCCCTATTGTTAATGTCTCTATGTTATAATCGAATAAATTTATATGTTATATGTATATTTCAATCTGACAAATAATTGATAAGCGTGATCGAATCGCTTGTTTTGCTATTATAGATTGGTTGATTACTCTTTCATTATTTTCTGTAAAATTATATTATTTCTTCTGTGAATCTGTCGTCAATTAATGTCAGAAAATAATTAAAAGGTAGTAAAGTTTCTTATTTTTCTGTGATTAATATTGCAACGCTTAGGACGCTCATTCTCTTATCATTATCTTCACAAAGGATAACGAATATAACTTCCCTCGTTATTTATTTTCTTTCATTCCTTTACGTCTGGTTATGCAAACACTTTGTATTTGTGCTGGGAAATCTCCGCAATGCAAAATCTCTGCCTTTTGGACATTTTTCATCCTCGTAGAGGGAAACATTGAAATTTCGTTTGTTACATTATTCTATTTATCGTCTAGATAAAGCGTATCTCGTGTCTGTCATGAAGCGATTCAGATTTTTCACGTGCGTGTTGCATCTACATCAATTATGACCCATATAAAATAATTTTTATTAAAATCTCCAGTTTCTGAATGACAACTGTTCGATATTCAACATAATTATTCAATATTGTATAATATTTATTTCTATAAATTCTTTGTACATTCTACATATTTTATTCTATCTTGTATATTACATTTTTATCCTACTTTTATTATTTTATAAATTTTGTATATTTTTTATGAATCATTAAAATTTTGTAAAATCTTCAAATCTAATTCCGTATTTTATAATGTAAACAGTGTGATTCTTTGAATAAAAACGATCTTTTTTTTATGGAATTCGAAGGAACAAGAAAATCGTTTATTTTTCTAGATATTGGAACCCGAGGAGGTAGTTTAGCGAGCAGCAGGGGTTACTTGGAAATCGCAGGAAACGGACAAAGTAGTACACATACGGAAAGACAGAATCCACAGGCAAATCATACGTCACCCCTCCATAGCAAATACACGGATCAATCGTTACTTTCATTTTGTTCGAACGTGAGTTTTCTTTATCCACCGTATATCACATCCTTTTTATTCGAATAAATGAAGCAATTTCGTGAAGATTTATTTTAATTCTGCTGTCTATACAATTAAACTCTTTCATATTTGATATTATCTTTTATTTTTTAATTATTAATCATATATACATTATTGATTAAATTAATAAAGTATTGTGATCAGTGACATTAATATCATTTTAAGAATGAATAAATTAAGGTTTCAGAAGCAACACCCTGCACAGGAACTAATGTAGATAGAATTCGCGAGCAGCATCGTTGGAGTGATTCAGAATGTTGTCACCTCGCCTATGAACTGCACACTTTACATCATGGACCTCCGTGAAACCCATAATCTAATTTAGATCACTTTACCAGGAGAACTCTACTCGTAAAAAACTGACGAAGACGATAAGGAGAAGGACGTGCAGTTTACTTCTGCAGAACTTAGAGACTGTAAATATATCAATGATTCGCCAAAACTATGTTTACTAGTCATAACATGGTTAAAATGTCTTGAATAATTCAACTATCATATTTCATTTACCGCTTTTATATTATTGTATATATATTTTTTTGAAAGATGAGGGATATGTGAATATTATTGGGAAAAAAATTTTTTACTAGAAAGAGATAATAAATTTGCATTAGAAACTGACACAGTAAAAAATCATCATTTAATATTTTATGTAATTTAACGTTGAACTATAAGAATGAAAATTAGTTTTCCAGTCTTTCTAATAGGCTTTTTGTTAAAATTTCAGACTTAAGAGCTTAAAGAGTTTATTTTTTATACGAACTCTTTTATTCTCTAATATAGATATAGATGAAGATGTAAATGAATGAACTGCACCAATATACGTTATCTGTAAACGCTTGCAAATTTATCTAATAATTCCATCATCTAATAAATCCACCTTTAGTTATTTCTAAATCTGACAGAAACTGCTAATCGGTAGATTTTTCGTTTTTTGTTAGAAATGCCATTCGTAAAAAACAGTTTTATAATAAAATTTCGATAAAATTGTCATTATTATGGAAAAATGATATGTTTCCTTGGTTTAGTAAGCTTTGGTGCAGTCATATATTGGTTATTCGAATAACTATTCGTAAATAACATTTGCGTGTTTAATCTTAAATGTACATTTTAATGCAAGTGGATGTTTCTAATTGTGCGTTTGTGAGTGAGTGTTTATTGCAACGATTGAAAATTTTCCATGTGCATTGTTGTCTATCTATATTTGAAATCTAATCTCATTCATTATCATATTTTCGATTGTTCACAGATTAATTATTAAATATAAACGTTACGGATATAGAACTTGCTAATTAACAAAGATCACGTGGAACTTTTTCAATGACAATGTCGTTGTTAATTATTATTTGCTGTTTTTGTTTTTAATGTTATTTTATCGGAGAGACTTGTCGGAAAAGTTGCTGAGCGTACATATATCAATATTACGGATGCATTTTAATTTAATTAATGTTATAATCGGAATTTAAAACGAAAGCTCCATAAACAGAATTTTTCAACTTTATAAAAACTGCCTTGAAACTGAATTTTCTTAATTAATGCATTGGAAAGTATTTCTTTGAAAAGATACGTCTGTGTTGGATTGAATTTTGTACCACGTTTAAAAACATTTAGGAGGGATTCACAAAGGAAGTATAGTGTCTGTTTTAGAGACCAAATTGAGCTCACACATATATATACATATATGTTCGATGTAAAAGTACATAATTGATTGGAAATAAAAATAGTACATGTGTATAAATTATATTTTTTTTAATAGACTGCTTTATTTGAAAATTATTTGGTGTACAGTTCCGCGCCAACTATATCATTTTTACAATAATTTATATATTCGTTAAATTAAGATGTAACATTAAAATATTACAAGTCTATTCATCAGTCAATAGACTCCTGAGTATTATTGTCTACACTTATGGATTGTGGGACTACCGTCCTCTTATGTTCAGATGATAATGCCAATGGTTCACTGAAAATAAGAAATGGAGCACGTAGTATAAATTAAAATTTACAAAATTAAAAATATTTCATGGAGGAATAGTAAATCATAAAGAATTTAAAATCAAAAAGTATTTCGACTTAATTTTGAGAATTAGGAGATCTAATTAACTGGATTTATTTACTTATTAATAGAGATATAATTCGCGGTACCAGCGGTTATTTATAGAATAAATTAATGATATAAATAGGGTAAAGAATTATTAATAACAATTCTAAACCAGTTATTTATCATCTGATATGACTAATAATAGAAATGGTAATTATTTACAGGAACTGCATCCTGGAGACATTTAATTTTTTCTTTAGATTGTGAGATCAAATATGTACATAGAAGATTGAAATATGTATAAGGCCAGAGAAATTTCATCACGGGAGTCATTTGCTTACCAATCAGTGACGTTCTCTGCATCATCACATATATTTTTCAGCTTACTGAAAAGTTTCCCGGCGCCACAAATTTGCAATCGTGGACGACCGTTTATGCATAAGTAATAGCGCTGACAGTCGTGAGGACTTGGGTAAAATGAAAACCCGTACTGATGCCCCTTATCAAGATAATTTGGACATCGAAATCCTAAGAACTCTACATTGACAGATGTAAATTAATCGTTAAAAACTGTAATTAAAAATTGAAATTATAAAATAGAACAAAATATCCTTTCTTTCTAAAATTTGCAAGAACTCAAAATTTTAAAGCAGAAGATTTGTTTTTAGTCAATATGGAGATATTGCTGAGCTTCTAAAAATTTTACGCTTATATACAGTTATAAAACTTGAGAAAAGTGATAAAGTAGATTTAAAAAATTTAAAGAAAGAATGATATAAGATTTGCTTACCTTCAGGATTACAGTCTGGTACTTGATCAGGCCAGTCGCAACGATAAAATTCAGAACTGTACGCCAATCCCTCTGGACAGTGGAAAATGTGCGCTCTTCCTTCAACACAGGTCATGAATTTTCCACAATCCCGTTCGTCACCCAGCTTGAAATAACCGTACTGATGTGGACATTCATCAGTTGATTGTGCAAGTTCTAAAAATAAATTTTTATTGTTTCATTTTAATTATAATAAAACTGAATTATAAATGAATAATTGTAAAATTCTTGAATATTCACTTATAAAAATTGCCACTATTACGTAGTTTTTTAAAATTGCTAATACTTGTATCATTATAAAGGTATTTAATATGTATATTCATGGAAATTGATATTTTAAAATTCTTTCTAGTTTTTTCTTTAAAAGTAGATCTCTTTCCACCTCAGAATATTAGTATTCTCATTTTGCTTTTACTATTCTTTCTGTTCTTTTTGTATCTAACAATTTAATACTAAATATTCAAATTGTTTCAATATCAGTGATTAAACTTGAAAAGAATATTGTCACATGATACTAACGTCGGTTAGGTCTTCCCTCACAATCCACATCTATAGGATATCCACAAGGGTAGTTATATCTGACATTTGGATTAAACAATAATCCATCAGGGCATAACATTTGTTCCGGAATCCCATCTTTGCATTCTATGTATGCGTCGCATTGAGATGCAACAGCAAATCTGCCATTCTTTTCTGGACAAGATAGATTTTGAAAGGCAGCTGTAAAAATAAGATATGATCTTTTTGTCTATATAATGTTAAGATATTATTCACAGAATGAAAATTTATTTTATATTAATAATGAAACTATAACAATAAACTATAATAAAGATGCTTTGATAATGAACAAATTATTACTGACAAATTATTGATAATGAAAATTGGATTTCAGGCAAGAAAAATAAAGCAATCACGGTAGAAGGATATTTTCCTGATGTTGCAAGGACCATAAAATTGGTATTTTTAGTCCACTTTTATGACAAATTATTTGATAATTATTTTGTGCAAATTTTCTATATACTTTCTTAATTTAAAAATACTTTTCCCTACTTTACGTTTCACACCTTTTAATATATTCATTTGCAAAATTGAACAGGCCAAACTGATGTTAATTACTAGTGAGTGGTTAATGAATGCAAAGTTGCTTTCGCGGACCTTGGAATTGGGAAACCATGATTCGTTGCATAATGCAGCACTATGAAGAGGAACCGGTCCCCGGATCTTGCGTGCTCATGCATTCACGCTTACTATCAAAAATCCTCGAACGGAGAAAGTTCGACGATACGACTTGACCTCTGGACTTCTCTGTTTTCGTCTTAAATACCAGTTCACGCGGACTCATTTGGCTAGTCTATCCGAAATTGAAAGTAGAATAAATCCTAGTTAATCCTACACTGTGAGGTAGTAATTTCGGTTACTGTCAAAACAAGAAAGTACGCCAGAAAGAAAAATAATTTTCCATTCCACGATTCAGTCTAATTTTCACATAATAGAAGCTAGGTATCGAGATCATCATGTTCAATGATTTACGTAATATGTTTGCAAAATAGATCTATAATTTATAACATACTCCATGGATAATGTTAATGATGTCTTGAACTACTTCTTTGGAACCTACAAAATTACCTAGAAAACCAATGAAACTCTCTTTATCTTAATAAGAAAATTCTTTAGTTGTATAAAAATTTTCTTTATCAAAAGATAGAAAATACTTCATGAACGAAGTAAATTTTTAAATTCTGAGAATCTTTCTCATAAAAAGAAGGAAAAATTCTAAAAAAATCTAGAATTTTTCCTTCTTTTTATGAGAAAGATTCTCAGAATTTAAAAATTTACTTCGCTTGTGAAGTATTTTCTATCTTTTGATAAAGAAAATTTTTATACAACTGAAGAATTTTCTTATTAAGATAAAGAGGGTTTCATTGGTTTTGTACGTGGTTGAAAGAATTGTTAATGATGGTTAATATGTCTTGGAGTAATAATCCCGGGAGCAATGAAACTGTCTTAATGAGAAACGGTGTGATTTTGAGCGCAAAGCGAGAATGAGGATTATTGTGGGAGAATGGATACGCAAAACATGATATGGTGATGCAAGACCTGAATGGTTGTTGACTGAAAGTGACAATCATTGAATGTTAACAAACTATTTTTGTCGACTGGATATAAAAAAGATATCACAGTTGAGCAAACAGGTTGACACACTATCAAAATCTTTCTACATTTCTGATTCCAAGCTGAGTAATCAAATGAATCTATCGAAGTATCTTTTAATGTATTCTAAAACTGACTCTAAGAAAAGTTAATAGTGTTTGGATTCTTGGAAAAAGTGATAAAGCATCATAGAATATATAATATACTGTAAATATTCTAGATTTATTGTAGACTTATTATTAGATATTACAGATTATCATTCTAGTTTAACATTTAATTGTTTATTCTGTGTTATGATCAGTTTTAATCATAATTAGAATAATATTATAACGAATCTATTTAATTGGATGGTATAACAGATATACGATATTAGAGAAGATATAGAAGATATTCACAATATTACAGAAGATATTAACAGGACATTTACATATAATTGAAGATTAACAATTATTATCTTCTGAAAGATATCAAAAGTATAATGTTAAAAATTTTTTAAGAATTGTAAAATTTTTTTCAATGACTAGTGTACCAATCATTGTTTCATCATGACTACCATTTGCACTAATCCTGGTTTATCACAATAATTATGATCATCCTTACTGATACAGAAATACAATGCAATTGAAGATAGCAAAGAGATTTACTGAAACGATATCACCATAGTACTCTTCATATTGTAAATTCTACTTCTTGATTCCATTGATTGTACTAACAAAATTGTTCATTAATTTTCCACTGCCATATCACTTGAAAGTTTAATATTAATTTATCTCAAGAATTAGAATGCTTCTAACTAGAAAAAGAAATATATTGTTACTTTAACATTTATACTTTTTGAAATAAATATTAAAAAATATTCATTGAAGCTTTTGCCATTAATCATTTATTTTCAGTTCGTTTTCATTAGAATGAACAATTGATACTAATATTTTTTTCATTTTCTAGATAAAGCAGTTCCTGATGAATAGGAAAGAATAATCGCGGAGGAGCACACATATTTTCAAGTCTAATGATATTTAGAAGACACAAGAAAGTATCACTGTTCAGAAAATTGAAGAGAACGTGCCCATTTTTTCAAACGTATGATAATCTTGTACTCACAGTTCGCGAGGCCGAGCATGCCGCTCGCAATCAACAAACGAGCGATCACTGTCGTTAGAGTCATCTCGAGCTCTTGCTGTCCCGACTACCAAAACCAAAACTACCTGACTTCTCTTCCTCGCGAGCTTTTATGATCTTCACTCAACCGCCGCACGTGTCTGCTCCTTCTCTATATCTTTCCTCCTACAATCTTCTGAATTACTTAAAATTTTCCGTGTTAGACCACATCATTAGATCATACATATGTAAATTAGAATTTGAAGAATTTGAACAAGATAAACTGTTTTGGTATGCTTAACAAACAATTATATCAAAGGAATTAATTATTTCGCTTCTCTTCTATTTCTTTAATTATTGGATACAGACGACTGGAAATACACTGAAAAAGTTATTAGTTTTGGTCTCTTAAAATCGTTTTCGAAAATCCATTATGTCATAATTAATAACTGATGATGGTTAAAAAAAAAAGATCTATTCAATTACTGAATATTTTAGTTGAATGCGAAACATTGGTTCTACAAAATGGCGGGTCCGATAATACTCTAAGCTCATTTTTTTCTTTAAGCTGACAATTAAGATTTGGAATTTGAAATTGATGTTACAGGTTCTTTTTCTTCACATATCTTGAAGAAAACGTTTGTGAACGAGCAAAAAGAAACGTGGAAAATGTCAAGGCTTAGTTCGATGGACGCCTGAGGCTCCTCTAACTGCGGAACTTCTGGTCATCGTTGGACATTGCATAAATTCTACATTTCTTCTATTATTTATACATTTATGGTTTTTCCTTTTGTACATTCTGGGAAAAGTTCCATTGTATTTTTCCATTTTTTATCATATATTAAACCGAATGAGAGAAATGTCAGTCATTTTATAAATATAGGAAACTGTCCTTATTAAATTTGTGTACATAATAGTTATTCAAAGTTTCTCTTTAAAAAGAATTAAAAATTAGGATAAAAAAAAAGTAATCAAATTAAAATTGAAATTAAATTAAGAATAAAGAAGATGATCTCTTGAAAAAGAATAAAGTTTTTTTAAACAGACAATTAAAATAATATTACAAATTCTTTGAAAACATTCTGCAAATAATTATAGAAAATCTGATACTTGCATCGAGTAATTGTTATTCATATTAATTTACAAGGAAATGAACTGACATGGTACAGTTTTACCATAACAAACTATTGCAAGATTTTTATTCGTGAAATAGATTTATCAGAAAGAATACTACGAAACGATCCTTTGTCTTAAATTCAATTGGCATTACAAAGCGAAATGAAATTTATCTTATCGTCTACATTACCATTATTTCTACCAGAGATTTTAAATTGAAAAGTTAATGGAATGCTAACATAATTTCGAATTATAAGCAGATTATTTTAATAGTTCAAGTGCATAAACTATAATAATGTAAAACTAATATAAAGACCTAATATTTTTGCTTTATTATTCTCAATATTTTGAATAACATATCCCCCTTGAGTTAGCAACAACTGAGATGCAATCGAGAATTAAATATTTTGTAACCACATACTAATTTGTAGATAATATTCCTTTTTAAATGAATGTTTCAGAAATTAAAATTTTCTTACTGAGATCTATCACATTCAGTGAAAAGCGATCGTTTCTCGATTCAGGAAATAAGAAAATGGAATTTGTCCGTGGACACAATCTCGTGTCACAGATATGAAGTCTTTTCACTCCTGCGTGGTAATGGTGTTTCATTTGAGTAATGCCTTCTATGATGATCTTCTCTAATTATTATCTATTATTTTTGATATTTACTTATTCAAAGAAATTTTTTAATTTCAGATGTTTCTACGTGATATTATATCCCCGCAGGGAGGGCCGCCAGGGCAAAGACCGCGTTTCTTATGGTCAATCCCTGTTTGCGTGAGCCCTTTGGGTGGTAGCGTACCCACGGACCCGAGACGCTCTCTCTTTCTTGAGTGATAACTCTTGCTAGGGTGACTAATAACAAATAGTTATCATTAAATCTGAGTTCAGTTCAAAAATTTTTGACTCTCTGTTAGATTCGTAGGAATAGTGTTTTAATAATCCAAATGCTTGGTCGTGTGTAAGTGTGATCTTAAGTCTTTTGACTTGTCAAGGGTCGCCAATTTCTTTTTCATTGAATGATACATTTCTAACCATAGATCAATTTGCAAGTTTTCACTTTTAATTTACATGGTTCATTACTACACTAAGTTTTTCAGGCTCTTAGCAGATAGCGCTAGTAGTACGGATTTCAGCATAGTCAGAGTGATTGCACCGACGAGATTTATGAATCTATCGCATGTGTATGAACAGACTGCGTCCTTTCAATATTCCATCGTCTGAAATACCGACATGGCGAAGAATCGTTGGTTCTTTAGCGCACTTTTACGCTTGAAGAACGGTGAATTGGAGAACTACGTCGAGTAGAACGACCAAAGTTGATCAAACAGTGACAGAGACGATGTTACAGTATTGTTAAAGTTTGAATACCGAAATGCGAAGCTACTGAACAGTGAAATTCTACTAAGTATCGAAAAGGGCTTGTATAAAGTGTAGTAAAATTCGAAATTTTTACTTCATAAAATATTTTTACAAACAATTTTTAGCCGAATTGAATTTAAATTCTCAACTCTGTTTCTTAAAATTATTTTCTGTGTAAGTCGATTGATCGTGATTATTCATTTCAACAAAAGCTTGTTACTTCTTGAAATGTACATATAAAATAATATTTATAACAATTAAAACTACAAATTTTTGTGCTTGAAGACGCACATACATTTATATTTAAGCAACGATATTATTTGCGCGAATTTTTCATTGTATAAAATATGGGAAAACCACAAATTACAAATAAATTACAAAACCACAAATCATGTTAGCCTTTTAGGGCATTTTTGCAAACCTAAAAGGGTTTATTTTCATTAGAAAAATACCAGTTTATTTATTGATGATTCTATTGAGTATTTTTACAGTCGAGGAGGTGACAGGAAGATCTGTTCTCGACGTCGTGGACTGGTGTACCGCACAAAGGGAATGGCGTTGCCGGTACTGTTTCTACATCCGACGTGGCGTGTGAAACCAGCCAGGCAAAGGGACCGATGCAACAAGAGCCTGGGAGTGCCTTTTTAATGTCACGGAAGGAGTTACCTTTAAGTATCGTCGATGTCGAATCACATGATTCGTTAGATTGGGAGAGAGTCCAATAGTGGGTGAATGGTCGAAGATGTCCATTGTTTTATTACACATACCTTCTTTTTCTTAGTGTCGCTTTTCCAACCAGCAGGAGAATTGCTATGCGTCTTCTGATCATTCGATTGTTATTTACTCAGTTGTGGGAAATTTTTAAGGCACAAAATACAAAACTATATAAAATATATTTGCGTGAAACGAATTTTCATTTAGGTTTCATTTTTTTCATTTACTCGCAAAAGATGTTAATTTTCATGAATACTCAGAGTCTGAGTGTCATTAGGTTGTCTAATAAGGTTGTTCACGACAATGGTGATACACATTTCGAGAAATATTGCAATCGTTATTTTTATTTGAACTACAATATTAACAATTATGAAATTATATATAATCTGGACGTGTCTTGAAAGTCTTAATGTGTAATATTTAATAAGTATGTTAAATACAATAAAAATCTAAGAATCTAAAGTAACTGTTCATTCGTTCATATATTTTTTATTGGCTATTTATTAAAAATGACAAATAGACTGTGGATCTTTCATAGAAATTCATATTTTTGAGTATATGATTAAGAAAGTGGAGCCTAGTTTATGCACCAAATATTATTGAAAGTAAGATTTTGTCATGTCTACATGAAAATAGCAGTGGTTCAAGAAATCGAGCAACATAGATGCAAGGATGATTCTCGTCCTTTACTATGCTGTAGTAATTTTACTATTGCTCTCATATTGGCCACGTACTGGCTGTACTTTAGGGTCATTATTATCTCGATACACGCATATTAAAATGGAAGATATCTTCTCATTATATGCTCGTGTCATTCGAAGAAATGATACGCGAAAGCTCATCGATATGCGTTCACTCGGGGCATCAGAAAGAAACTGAACGCCTTCTGTGAAAGTTACGTGCATCCTTGACCTAGTATTCTAAACGAGGAGATCGACATTAGTAAAAACGTAGGGATGACTTCTTGCACGAAATCCCACGAAACCCAGGAAAGTTTCGAAACTTTGTACTTTTTTTGTGACTTGAAACTCTCGAAACTCGGGTAACAAGAAGTGTAAGAATCAACGAAATAAAATAATCACTTGCAGCCGTGAATAAAGAATGTTTGATTCACGTTCCGAGATCATTCGTGTTTCGAGAATTTGAGAATTAATTAGCCGAAACACGTTGTCGCGTTGATGCTGTTTTCTTTTCTTTCAAATTGAACTAGAGCAATTTCAAAACACCTAATTAATTTCAAAAGAAAAGGAAGTACGAACCTTTAAAATTTCTTGTCGATTCGTTCATTATTTTAACTAATCGAATGTACAGTTAATATTTAATCGTTAATTGAATTTTATTATTACACGTTGTTGCGAGTTTGATTGCTATTTATCATGGAGTTTTAATTATGCGGGATTATATAATGATTGTGTTTATTAGATAATGGCATTAAGCAGTCGTAGGATGATTGATTAGGATACATGTTTTTTAATTAAGCGCGGCAAATGACAAACGACATTCCTCTTCCGCTGTTTGAAATACAGTGAGAATCTAGTGGCAGCCGCTCCGACTTAATTTCACATAATTAAATGGTTATACGGTCCGCTGAGATTTCATTAAGCTCGTGCGGTTAATTAGCAAACTGCTAACATTTCTAACTGCGCTACGTCATTGAATCATTCGTTTCATAATTTAGAGAAAATGATTTATCCATTGCCAGCGCTAATTTTATGATTTTTTCCTAAAAGTGACGGTAATTCCTTAATCTTTTAAGGAGATTTCTAACTTCATAATTCTCCGAAATATAATGATAAATATGAATCCATTGAAGAATTTCCATTTCCCTAAATTTGGAGGTTTTCTAAGAATTTCAGTATTCTTAACTTCGTAGTTTCCTGATTCTACGATTTCAGGCGTTTTCAATTCCGCAATTTGGCTGAAAATTTTCGACATTCCCAGCTTCGTGAAAAATTTCCTAGTTTCGTGAACGTTCTTCCAATCGTCAATGCAAATTCCTCATCGGCATGATTTTCTTAGCGCGTTACTCGGTTAATTTTGTTAGAATCTAAATGTACTGCACGAAGGGGGTGAATCTAATCCTGTTCCCTAACCTTCCTCGACGGTGACCTTAGCCAACCGCTCATCATTCCATCGAGCACGTACCGAGCTCATCTGATTTGCATAAGACCGGAGTAAGTATCGAGCGAGCGCGAGGTCGAAGCAACATGTACTTCGACAGATCGAGCTCTTGCTTTACGGCCATGATCCGGCGAATACACGTACAGCAGATCTCCCTCTATACTCCATTGTGAATTTTATTCGCATCCTCTACAAAGATCAAATTAGCCTCGGTATACTTTCAGGTATACACATTCTGTCTCTTTGCTATTTCTTCGTGTTAATGCTTCGTCGGTTCTTACTAAGGGTGTGCAAGAACTTGAAAATATCGAGAACTCGACGGTCGGGACGAGTCGGGTCGGGTCGGGATTCCCGAAGAAATCTTCGGGTACCAGTCCTGACTCAATATTTCAGATTCTCGTATACCTCTAGTTCTTACTTACTGAAAGCTTCGTTTCTCTCCCTTCAATGTCCTTGGATCATCAGGGATTCTCGACTGATTGATTATTATTTGTGTTCTGTGACAATTTTTCCATTTCAATTTCTGTTTGGAATATTGTGAGTGAGAGAAAATAGATTGTTCAAGTCAGGTTTGATTAGATTAGGTCTCTGAATTATTAGATGTCAAATATTAATTTTGGAGTTAGAATTGGTTCTTTTAGTAGGTTTTTTAATTATTAGCTGTCATTAAATATCAATTTTAGAATCAGAATGAAAACCACGAGGAAAATTAGATAAATTTTAGTTACTTTAATTTCAATTCAACTTCGGACAAAATAATTTAATTCAAAAGTGAAGATTTACTCTAATTTGAAATTAGTTTTCATTTTAAAAAAACTTCTACGATGTTGATTAAAATGTTCGGTGATATTTATCTTCCTTCTTTCGATGAAGCATTACTCGTCTCCTAAAAATTAAATTATTCAAAGTAGCAGCCTTAGAATTTTCCAAATTGTTTCTTATTTTAATTATTAATTGTTCGACGTTCCATTCATTCCACGATCGATATTTCACCGAAACGAAGACTCGATTCTGTATAGGTGAAACTTGTCGCAAAATTGACATTTGAAAAATCGCCACGAGTCGTCTGGTCTGCTGCCATAAGTGGAAGAAGGGAAAGCAGGGAAGGGGTTGAAAGGCAAAAACGCTTAGCGAGTCACGGTTCACAGCTATCGAAATTCGGTTTCGTAACGGATCCCATTTGGTATTGTGTTCCTTGACGCGGAGATCAGCTGATTGCAATTTTAACGCGCGGAAGGCAATCAGATTTCAGCGAGACCTTTTCGAATCGCTCGTTGCGAACGCGACGAGCAAGCCACGTACGTATGTGCCATTAGAACTCGTTATCCTAGCCAATTTGTTCGCGAAACCAAGACCATTCGAACGTGTAAGCGAAAATCCCGCAATTGGCCCAACCTCCACTCTCTCAATCGTCATTAGAGTTATAGAAACGTTTAGTTGCACATTTGTTCCCTCGAATGTTGGAATGATTGACAATATCAATAAGGTCGGGCAATTCTGTCGACTTTCATTGATAATCTACAAGTGTTAAGTTCAATTTTTAAAATTTAAAATTAACTCTGAGCTTCTGATTCTCAAAATTCTTAATTTGGCGTGTTGCACATCAATTGAGTCGAATTATTTTGAAATTCTTCAGTTGAACAATCTTTTCTAGGCTTTCCATTGTTTGATAGATAGGAAATAGCAAACAGTCTCTGAACTGATGAAACTTCGGTTGGTATTTTTTCCCTCCGAAAACGTTTTTAAGCAGGTGAAGCACACCTTACGCTAACTCGGAATTTTTTCTTGAGTTTCTCTGATTTTTTCTAAAAGTTTCTCTGGGGAGGTTTCTGCTTTTGCGATTTTCAAGTGTGGTTGGAATTAATACAAATCGCGAATAGAAAAGAATGGGCAGATGCGTATCGCACGACTATATATTCCGTTGCGAGAAAAAGTGTCAAGTTCGTGTGAAATTAGATAGTTTATTAGATACCGCTTGATAAGGGAATACAATGCCTGAATACTTGACTGCGGGATATTCCAGCGAACTTCGCATAATGGCAGGATGTTTATGCTTCGCGCGAGTCGTAAATTTAAGGGACACGTGTACGATAAAGTTGCCAGCCGAGTTCTTTAACGGAAAACCATTAATACAGTGTTTCCCAAACTTGTGTGTCTGCCATGTAATATGTTATCGCTGTTATCATTATACTGTGGCTGTTTCTGTGAATTCATGTTATATTATTAATGTAATTTCGAAGAGAAAAGAAATGGAACCCAGGAATATACATCTTGTATATTTTGCACACTTTTTGGCTATTATTCTGTTCATTTTCACATTTTCAATTTAATGAATTCCATGTTACCTCTGTTCCACTAAATAAAAAAGCAACTTCGAAGATGTGTCTGTTTACTTCTTTTCAATTTTTAATTATTATTAAATATTTTATAAAAAAGAATTAAAAGTGCATACAATGTGGAGAGACATGTTTCTTCCCAAGTTCCATTTTTGCAATTACATTTAAAAGAATATTAATTTGCCTAAATATCCACATATTTCGACTACAAAATATTCAATAATTCCTTCATAGCATTCCTAATAATAATAATAATTTTTCATAATGAAATAATTTTTTAGTATTCACTTGACATATTACTTGCAGTAATAAATACATGAAATATTTCAGCTTTCAGTCATAAATCACTGTACGATCACCTAAAACGTTTTGGATTTTAATGGCAATGAACGACTTGATAAAAAAAAAGAAAAAAAAGTGTGATTATGCAACTTATTCATGTCTAGAGGCTGGAAGCCAGTTGTTGAGAGGCACTGCGTTACAATGACACGCAACAGAAGGAACAAGAGGATTATCTGCTCAATGATATTAGATCTTCTCAAACGAGTCCTCATTAAAACTTCTTGTTCTGATGTTCGAACTCATTAAACTCGATTCTCGATATGATTACCGCCGTAAATCATTGTTATTAAGATTTCCATGCGCAGATGGCGCAGGAAATAAACAAGGAATACACCATCCGGTTTGAAACCCATCTTCCTAGCATTGACAAGCATATTCCTACCATAATGCTTCTGTGTCTAATGATAAATTTATCCTGAGTAATTAGTCTGGCAACGTACGAGTCTTTTCAGAATAACTCAAAGATTTTGTGTTTCTAGGTACAGTCTAATCTGAATTGTTGTCCACGCGAGCCAAGAAGCAAAAATAGCCATTGTGACTTCCTTATGGGATGCCTACACTTTGAAGTGGCCTTTGCCCGACCAGTGTATGTTCCCTCAGCTTCGATATTAGCACTCATTATCTACTTTTTTATCACCTGCGATTACATGGTTCACCAGTGGACGACGATCGATGCTGCAACAGCGACGAATAATAAATTACCGCTTCTCGTAATTTAGTTTCATAGCACTGATGTCCTCAACACCTTCCGTTAAACTTTGCAGCGTCTCCGTATAATTTGTAAGCTCTCTTTCTTTCACATGGTGAAAGGTACTTTAATATGATAATTCTAGACTATTTAATGTGTTGTTATATTCCCCCCCTTGTATTCTACTTCAGGACTGTTGTAAATCTTCTTTGAGGGAACTGTGTAAGCCAACTGTGGTGGTCTCTTTCACTGGATGTTGTTGGAAGATTGAAAGTTCAACTCTTCGACACAAACTTGATTTACCTACTCGGTCTTTGAAACTTTTCATCAACAGGATTCTCGACAAATTTCTGATTTCATTAATCAGAGTCAATTTGTTTATTTGTACCTTTTACCTTCGCTGAATTTTCTCTGCGTTCGTAAAAACATTACGTAACTTTACCGAACCGCTAAAGACCAAGACCAATTTATTTTTATCCTCTGGCTTTGGTACATTTTCTCCATATTTATTATGTTATACAACTTGATCGAACCACTAAAAAAGTTCGTTCGTTCACATCCCCTATCTCCGCGATATTTATTATGTTTTCCATACCAGTGCAGCTTAAAAAGGAGACCTTATCTCGGCCATATGTCTCGTTGCTTCACTTCCATTACCATACAATCCGATAACGACGATCCCCTCCCTCCCAACTTACAACCGTTCCAACCTGCAACTTCACTTGCAAAAGATCGTCTGACGTGTTTATGCGCGCTGCGATTCTTAATGAACGTTGTTATATGACACGTGGAAGATCGCGTCCATAACCCGTCCCAGGAATCCTGATTTCGCCGACGTGCACAACACATTTGTCCCCGCTCGATCCCGTTGAGAATTTGCTGCGCGATCGAGTCCGATCGAGTAATTACATCGAACAAGATGTACCATCTTCGGTCCCGTGACTTTTAACACTGTTCCACGTCGTCCAGTGTGAAATATTTCTGCCTCGTCGCTTGTGGCAGAAAAAATCATCGTTCCTGCGCACAAGGAGGCAAGGGGAGGGTTTTATGTTTGATTTACCGACGCGATCACGGTTCGAAGATGCTTTAGGCTTAGCCGTGGCAACCACCACGGCGATTTGTAGTGGCGGTGATGGGTCATTTGTAACTCGATTATGACTCGGTTGCTATTTGTTTCAGTCCGTGTGACTTTTCAGATGAGGCAACATGGTGTATGTACCATTTGCAGGTTGGTTTGGGTCAGTTTCTTGCCAACAAGGAGTGCTCGTAGTTTGTCAGTGACTCGATTAGAGGCCTCGGATTAATTTGGGAATAACCGTTTGTTGAATGTGTGGACTGAGCTCTTACATTCTTTTTCGCGAGCAGAAGAATTTAATTTTTTGTGTGTGTTTAGGATTTGGCAGATTTATTGTTCTTCCAAGTTCTGTTTCAAAATAGTATATCTCTAAGAGCAAGGTATTCTTAATTCTGCTATTCTCTTTGGGTCTACATTATCATTAAATGAATATTATATTGTTAGTAAACTGCGGATTTTTGTGAAGTTTTAATGCCCAAAATTCCAAATAGTATAGTATGAAACATAACAGAAAAAAAAGTACGTAAAACAGTGTGAAAAAGTACATATAATAATACATACAAGTTTAATTAATAGGACAAACTCAAACTTATAAAGGAAACATTTATATTGAAGTATGTATATTTAATTTTATCATTTAATATAGCTTTACTTTATATATTCCTGTATCGCAAAAAAAGAATCGAGATAAATCTTAGGAGATAGAAGCACACGAGGAAGAAGCTAAGAACAGCGCAGTTAAGAGAGGGCAGCCTTCGTGAGAACGTGCCATAATTTTCCAACAGTTTCACTCATCACTGACGGTATCGGTATATTAGTGGCGTATATCTCATCGAAAATTCGCCGGATGTCTTGTCGGCGTTCTTTGTTTTCGAGGCCCTTTTTCATCCGTTTACAAAGCGATGGGAACAATTTGATATTTTTCATTCGGCTTTCATACGCGGCACATCCCGTCACGGTGTACCGGTTATAATCTCATTGTTGGCCAGTAAATTATGCCATTTCGTTTTTCAGCCTTTCTGCTCTCGCTCTTCAGGCCGATTCAACGATAGATCCTTGTTAACGATACGAGTCCGTTGGCACAGCGCCGGTCATGATTACGAAAACCGTTGCGCGCCGAGAGAGAAGAAACCGCGATCGATAGCCTCTCGATTAATCGTCTCCTTGGTACTTCGGTAGCCGATGCAGATATTGGCAAATTTTCTGTGAGAACTGATGGCCGGTAGTACTATTGATTTTGTAGTACCGATTGATGTGACTTTTATCAATCTGATTGTATTGCTACAGTCTACGTAAATATTCCACTATCCTTATGCTATTATAATATTATTTTATACCGTTTGAACTAGCGTATACTAGAAATAACTATAGTACATAGAAATATAATATTATTTTATATTGTTTGAACTAGTATATAGTTGAAATCTTGTAACATTGCATATAGAGAAATCTTATGCTGCTCTACTTTATTTTCTATTTTCTTTTTCTACTTTGTTGCTCTACTTTAATACTTTGTTATATATTATCTATTATTGATTATATCATCTAGAGAAGTTTGATGCTTATCTATGGAGAGTACATTTTATACTATCTTGTGTCATTACTAGATTATTATACATATACATATAGTATATATAGATATATACTATATATTATACTACGTCCAATAATATATTTACATTTTGTCACGTGTATATGAACAAATAATTACGTGCAATATTTAATACATATAACATATACAGATTCCAACAAATAGCAGAAAATCGGTACAATGATCAAAAAATACAAAGTCGAAGTATGAAAAAAACGTGTGAAAGAAAATTGTATATTTCGCCAGATGGTGTGTAATGTATCCACGAATTGATTTATTATGTTTCTCAGAGCGGTTCAAAAGGCAAACATATTCCCCGTGAAATCAATTAAACGTCACAACATCATTAAGACTCGAGAGCACGGCACAAAACCGTAGAAAGTCAGCCAATTAATTTTCTTCCGTGCCATCTCCATTTATAATTGCACAACATTTTAAACAGTGTACGTTCCGGGTCATTAAGTGCGTTTCAACTGTCCGGGCAGACGATTGCGTAAACGGTAATTCTTGTATGAAACAATTTTAGAAACGAAGTCACTGAAGCGTCAAACCAATAGCGTTTGAGATGATCTGAAGGAACTTTTTATTTTAGTCCTGAGTAGTATTAGGACGTTCTGCAATCGCACGTTGCTGCTATATAATTTTAAAAATAATGACAGGTGTCCCTAATGCGAGTTGATGTTTAAATCGTCGGGGGTTGAAGGAAGGACCCTTGGCACACTTTCAATCATCATAAAAAGGAGAAAGTGATTGCAAAATATTGGCCACCTCGCGAGCTCTTCTAACACCTGTTGTTGCAGAAGATGAGGAGCATTTATGCTTGCGTAACGAAGAGAGATTATTCTCGACTCTACTAATTTTAGAATGCTTCTTTAAAGGATGTTACAGAATATCTGCTGATACATTGAAATAATGATGTCAGATTCTTACGAAAGATTGTTCTTCCTTGAAGCTAGTTTTCACTGTACAAAATTGCTCTAGTTAAAAAATTGAGAAAAGTTTTGTCATTCTGTCTTTATATATAGAACGCAGATAATAACATTTAATAGTCATTTATAGTTGCTTTAACTATTATTAGACTGTGAGTGAAATTCAGCTGTGTCCATAAAAATATGAATTTTCACAGATTGATTATATCGAGAAGGCTTCATCCAGATGTGGGAAAATTAAAAAAAGAAATTCTCTAAATTTGGCAGTTTCTCAATAATGTGTAATTGAAAAAAAGTCAGCAATTGTTTTTGATACTATTCTACTACACGTAAATAATTGGATTTTTACTATCAAGATGACTTTAAAATATTGTATGATATTTCAGAAAAATTTCTCTCAACGCATTGAAATTATACGATGAATAAATGTCAGCTCGTCGTTATTGACGCCACTGTGTTTCAGCTTGTTATACAGTTCCGTACAGCAAAGCTGAAACAACATTCCTCGCGCCACTTAATAATAATAATAACAACGAAAGACCATCTAATTGTTCCGTTCGGTAGGAACGTCTCTCGGCTACCTTTTTACGAAGTTCAGAATTGTATGGTAATCGGCACTGTTGAAAATAGCGCGACTCTCGTTCTTCTCGACCAGGGATAATCAATTTCAATCGACGAACGATCATAGCACGTTATTGTCCTTTACCGACCACTGCAGAGATCCGAGATAAGGTTCATACTAATTATTCCATTTCCCTCGCACGAGATGTTCCAGAGTACTGAAGACGAGAATCAGTTTTTGTTCCTACGTGCTTTTTATAAAATTCAGTATGTGAAACAATTTCTTTTAAGCATATTCTCGAAAACGTGAATTGATACTTTACTAGATAAATTCTCTTCATTTAGTAACGAGGAGAGTTTCCAACGAAAAAAAAAAAAAAAAAAATACATAAAATGGGGAAAAGTTATCTAAATTCTCCAAGTTGGATGTATTGCAAACACTCGAGTTGTGAGGTTCTAGGATTAAAAATTCTCGTCTGTCCTAACCTTCCCGACCTCTGTTCCCCGATGGTAGCCAAAGGGTTAACCGTGGTCGACTGTCGTCTGACAACGAAGAAGAAAATGTTCTTTCGCGCGAGGTCGTGGAAGAAAAGTGGGGCAGTAAAGATCAAGGTTCGTTGAATTAGATTCCATCTGATTTCGAAGTGCGTGACATTAACACCTCTGCTTCTGGATCGAGCGCGATGCTCTCCTCAATGGATGCCAGCATTCTTCTTCTCCTCGTCCCTTCTTCCCTCCACCATGGCCGTCCTCTGCCCCGTTGTCCTTCCCTCTCCCTCGCGGCACATTGTGTTCGAGACATTCGTGACATTTCATCCTCCTCGATCTTAAAGTCTATGCTCCGAGATCGTTCCTCGTAGGTTACGTGATCCGCTCTGCCTTGATACCGACCAGACTCTGCGAACTCTGCCTGCCTCTGCCGTGCGGGGAATCCTCGGGAGGGAAAAGAAAAAGCTTTTAACTAGATTCGCGTCTTCCATCGACTCCCTTTTAAGGTTAGCTGGGGCAAATAG